TTTTTTGTAACTTCTGATCTATTCTTTATTATAATTACCTTCTTTCCATTTTCTGTGGATACTTTCTGTTATTTTTCTAACTTCTAAAATTGGATTTTCTATTCACTAGTTTTCTGACTTTATTCCTAGTATAGGCTTTTAAAAGCTCTAAGTTTTCCTGTAAGTTCTATTGTAGCTGAATGCTACCAATTTTGGCATGCAGCACTTTTATTATTGTTGAGGTCTCATGATTTTCTAATTTCATTTTGTCATCCCCATCCACTTCTTATTTAGAATCATTTAAAAAGTGTTACGTCCAGGAGAGTTATAGAGTTATCTTTTTGCTAATGATTTCTAATTTAATTGCCCACCGGGTGGAAGGCATGGTCTGTTGATTCCATGTCTTCAAAATTGGTTGAAATTTGCATGATGAGTTGGAACATTGTCAATTTTGGTTTCATCCTCTGAGAGTTTTAGGAGAGTGTACAACCTCTAAATGCCAGGTGCAGCTTTACACACGCACATGATATTCCACAACTCCCTCCGTGTCCACTGTCCTTGTGTGAACTGTGACGGGGGTGCCATGGCGTCCCCAGATGGGCGGTTTGCTGGTTTGGCCCTGGGGTCGCTCCTCAGATTAACCCCTCGCGGGCTCTGGGGCATCGAGGGCTCTGGGGCATCCTCACCATCATCTCTTGGCTGCATTAGTGGGTAATCTCCTGAATTCTCTCCCGGCTTCCTCTCCTGCCACTTTTCACCTTCAGCCTGGTTTCCACACCAGCAGCCAGATTGCCGGTGTTAAAATACCGTGATTTATCAAAAGCCTCTCACATCCCTGTTTCCCGCAGGTTCCACCTGCCCCCTCTTCAAGTGGCCTAAAGCACCCTGCCCGCCTGCCCCCACCCTCTCCTGCCACCCAGCTTCCCGGCAGGAGGGCTCACAGAGGATGCCCAGTGGAGAGCAGGACAGCCCTGCTCCCGGTCGTCCGATGTCTCAGACCTTCCGGTGAAGCCAGGCCCCACGTGAGGGTGCGGATGGCAGTGGGAGCCTCTCACGCCCGCGTGCACATGCGTGTGTCTGCCTGTGTGCGCATGTGTGTCGTTTGCGGCTCGATGGGCTGCTTTTGTCTGGACTGTGCCTGGGAGGGGATGTGCCGTCCTCGGGCTCTGGTCCTTTGAAACTGATTCGTTGTGGCGGGCTGTTCAGCGAGCCACTGAACACCACTGCAACTGTCGTCACTAAGTGGGTCGCACAGCGAGGGGCGGCCGCAGAGGTGAAGAGGGGAGTCGTGAACCTCACTTTATCTCCTCTGTCCCCCCCTTTTCCAGCACCAGTTGAGTTTTGAAAAGAGAACGGCAGAGCCTTCCCTCCGAGACTGTCCCCGTCACTCACCACCTCTTGCTCCGCAGGGAGCTGGGTGTCCCGCTGCCTGAAGCCGTGGCTGAAGTTGGGAGAAGTGGGTCATCGCGCAGGCGAGTCTGTCACATCGCTCTCCGTGTTGCTGGTCTCGTGGTGCTTCTAGCCAAACCTAGTGCCAGGTCAGGCTACATGTTTAGTAAACGAGTTCCCTTCAGAGGTTTCTAGGGTGATATAAATCTCAAATCGAATGTCTTTTAGTTCATTAACTTCTGGTTTTCTTGCGCTGTCATCAGAAACTGCTGTCATGCTCTTTCTACTTTGTGAGACTTACTGTGAGGGTAACCCTGTCTGCTGGGACGCCGAGAGCCTCAGGGAGGAGCATGAGATCTCAGTGTTCTTTCAGTTCTCGTCCCCGTAACACTCCTGGGTTGATGCCGGCATTTCTGTCCCGAAGAGTCACCCTTTCCCAAGAGGAGACCTCTGGGTGTCCCTGGGAACAGGAGTACTTGATTGGTGACAAGGGTGCCATGGCCCTTGAGGCCCTAATGCTTCCTCACAGACGATTCTAATTGTTACCGCTGTTTCCACCCACTTCCCTGCGCCTCTGACCTGTGGAACCACTCGGTGCCTGCAGGCCCAGCTCTTCCTGGAATAGGGGGCGAACGGGCGGCTTCCGGGTGGCTTCTTCCCTTAGAGGCTGCGGTGTCCATGTCTCTGCTTCGCTCCCTATTTACCCCATTTCACCACTTCCCAGACCCCAGGGCTGTGCTGAGAGCTCTCGCTGGTTCTCCTCGCTCCTCCTGACTTCTTAGTGCTGTGGGTTTGTGCTGTTTTATTTTATGGGCATCATTGCAGTGCAGTTTCTGTAAGGGTGGAGTAAACACATGTTAACTCTGTGATGTTTAATACGAGGTCTCTTCCATTGCCTTTTTAAAAAGAAGCTTTTGAGTGTTTATTACCTTTGTTCTTTTTAATTGAGTATAATTCACATACCATACAATTCATACTTTAAAATTGCACATTTTAGTCGTTTTTAGCATATTCACAAAGGTGTGCAACCACCACCACTATCTAATTACACAACGTTCTCATCACCCCAAAAGAAACCCCACACCCATGCCATCACCCTCTCTCCTCAGCCCTAGGAACCGTGCGCCTACTTTCTGTCCCCGTGGGCTTGCCCGTTCTGGACGTTTGCTGTCAATGGGAGCACACAACATGTGGCTTTCCGCGTCTGGCTTCTTTCCCTTCTCATAATGTCTTCAAGGTCCATCCACGTTGCCGCGCGGGTCAGTACTTCATCCCCTTCCTTGTGGCCAAATAACATCCCGTTATAAGGGTGCACCACATTTTGTTTATCCACCATCATCAATTGATGGACGTTGGATTATTTCCACTTTTTGACAGTTATGAACAACACTGCTGTGAACATCCATGTACAGGTTTTTCTGTGGACGTATATTTTCATTCTCTTGGGTATATGCCTAGGAGTGGAGTTGCTGGGTCATATAGGAACTCTGGAGGAACTGCCAGCCTGTTTTCCAAAGGGGTTATATCATTTTATATTTCCACCAGCAATGTATAAAGATTCCAGTTTTTCCATATCCTTGCTGACATTTGTTACTTTCTGTTTCTTCTTATTATTATTATCATTTTCATTATTATTACTATTATTGCCATCCTAAGTGGCTCATTGTGGTTTTTTTTTTTTTTTGCGGTACGCGAGCCTCTCACCGCTGTGGCCTCTCCCGTTGCGGAGCACAGGCTCCGGACGCGCAGGCTCAGCGGCCATGGCTCACGGCCCAGCCGCTCCGCGGCATGTGGGATCTTCCCAGACCGGGGCACGAACCCGTGTCCCCTGCATCGGCAGGCGGACTCTCAACCACTGTGCCACCAGGGAAGCCCTCATTGTGGTTTTGACTTGCATTTTTCTAATGCCGAATGATGTTGAGTTACTTTTCCTGTGCTTATTGGTCATTTCTATATCTTCCTTAGAGAAATATATATCAAATCCTTTGTATATTTCTTAATTGTTTTTTATTGTTGAGTTGTAGAAGTTTTATATATAGTCTGAATATTAATCCCTTCTTAGGTATCTGATTTGCCGATATTTTCTATTATGTCAGTTGTATTTTCACATTCTTATTAGTGCCGTTTGATGCACAAAAGTCCTTAATTTTGATGAAGTCCAGTTCATCTACTTTTTGTCGCTGCCTGTGCTTTTTGTTGTCATATCCATGAAATTATTGCCAAATCCAATGCCATGAAAACTTTTTTTTCCAGTGTTTTCTTCAAGATGTTTATAGTTTTAGCTCTTAAGTCTAGGTCTTTGATCTATTTGAAGTTAATTTTTGCCTGTGGTGTAAGGTAAGGATGCAGTGCACTCTTTGGTGTGTGCTATCAGTTTTCCTGGCACTGTATGTACAAGACTTCTTTTTTTTTTTTGAATTTTATTTATTTATTTTTTTATGCAGCAGGTTCTCATTAGTCATCTATTTTATTCTTATTAGTGTATATATGTCAATCCCAATCTCCCAATTCATCACACCACCACCACCATTCCCCACTTTCCCTGCTTGGTGTCCATACGTTTGTTCTCTACATCTGTAAGACTGTTCTTTTCTAATTGGCAAAAGGGAGCCAAGACAATCCCTTGTTCTTCCATTGCTTTCTGATGAGTTCCCACTCGTGACCTTCAGGCCTCTCCGATCCTCCAATCAGTAACACGCTGACGCTCTTCTGCACCAGTGGAGACACCGTCTGCCCCTGTGAAAGAGGGAGGCTTTTGCTCAGTGTCACCTTCATGGCGTTTCCTTACATTTCGTATTTTCTCATTTATTTCATTTTGAACCTCAAGGTATTATATGGGTAAGATATTTTAGCTTGAAACAGACTCAGTGATGTAGTTTATTGCCTAAAATGGTTACCTGATTGACATGGAGAAAGACAGAGAAATTTAACATGGGCTTCTCATTATTTTTGGTGCTCTGCCCTCACAATTCCAAATGTTGGATGCTGTTGTAAAGAGCCTTTGAAGGCATCCCTGACAATAATGTGCAGAGGTCCTTACACCTGGACTTGAAAAACAGCAAAGAGGGTATGTTATGAACATGAGTTCTTGTGCCTGGGGATGAAGTTTCCTGTTTGGGCAACAATGTGAATTCAAAAAGTGAAGAGTCAAGAAACTTAGACCAAGGAGAAAATGATGCACTCTGGAAAAGACTAGGTGGACAGATTGCATGCTGACATGGAAGGGTTCAAGTGAAATGATTATACCAGCTGTAAAGTAGAAAACCAGCAGTGTGTTTAAGTTAATATATAGTTTCATAACTTTTAAAATCAGTATATGTACATATGAATATACTAAATATTACAAGCAGAAAGTTGACTGTTTCACTTATATTCTCAAAAGTGTATGCAGTTTTACCAGGCACTTCTGGACTGCTCACCTGTGCAGTGGAGGCCCCCTGCGGGGCGCATAAGGCAGGTCCCAGGATGAGCTCTCACTGGCATTTCATCACATCCCACGCGTCTCATGCCTGAATCTTAAGAAATGCTCGCTGCTCTGTTGAACGCAAGAAAGCAGTTCTGTTGAAGCTCAGTCCCGACGGACAAGGTCCTAATCCATAAGCTCATTTGCCCCCCTGTGTTTTGTGTTTCAGGTCGGTGGGCTCCACGACCAAAGTTGGTCCTCCTGTGAATCGCCGGTTCTGGTTGTGATGCTCTAGGTCACAACGAGTGTGAACACACGCTATCTATGGGCCTGCTCTGACTCGTCCAGCCTGCTTATGGGGGAAGGTGAGTGGCTGGGAAGCGGCCCTTGTCTGCTTGTCTGTTTACCAAGAATGTGTAGCAAAGTCAGACTCACCACGGAACAATGGAATGTGTCTGAAGTGGCACCATGCTGTATTTCACCCTCTTTAGTCCGTGATATGGTGTCAGCCGGGAGTAGTGCCAGGGAGCGAAGACGAGCCATGAAAAAGGAAACTTTAAGAGAGGAAGTCGATGCAATAATGTGATCGGACAGGAACATCATTCCTGATCGGCTCTTGAAAAGGCACGTCTAGAATCTGAAGAAGCAGGTTTAAGCTGAGGCAGAAATGTTTCTCCCTGGCTTTTTCCCTTGAGTTTTTGAGGAACGTGGGATGCCTTTGAACTGTGTTCCCCTATGTGTTCCCTGTTTTCAGGCCTCCGTGGCCTCATTCCACTAGGTGTGGAATCTGAAGAGCTGGCTCTGTGGTCTGCTTGCTTATGGGGTCTGTGAGGGACACTAGCCACACGCAGCGCCCCGTGCTAGCACTGCAGGAGGCCTGGCCCTGCTGACCATCCCGCCGTGTGGGTGTGGGTGCAGGAGCCAGTGTGCACGTGTGCGGCGGGGGGGGGGGGGGGGGCTTGTGCCGGAGCCTGTGTGTCCTGTGTGCCGCTGTGTGCTCCACCCAGCACCCTGAGGTCCGACTTCTGCCGGGGCTTCAGGGGTCCCGAGCCTGCAGTATCGACTTTGCCTGGCCTCGGTGTCTCACTGTAAATGGAGGCCTCCAAGTTTCCTTGCTCAGCTCTCACGCCTGGTCCTCTCCAGGCCAGTTCTAGTTTATTCACCCGTGCATTTCAGGTTACAAGGGCATTGCCGAAGGCTGAAGAGTGCATTCTAGAGTGCCTTATTCATGCGGGGCTGCAGAGGTGGCCACTGAGAAACTGTTTTCAGCTGTGGGAGTTTCTAATCCGGGTTCACGACATACACGTTGTACAGGTTCCGAGTCAACCTATCTCCCAGGTGGCTGTCAAAGAAACACGTGCATCTTTAAAAAGTCACAAAACTAAATAAGGGGTGCAGGGCCCCCTCACCGACTTTATGAAATCTTTCTTCATTCTTCTCCACGGCGGCTTCTCTTCTGCCCTATCCAAATGTTGTCTGGCTGGCTTTGCTTCGCTTTTTTAATTGCAGCTCAGCAGTTTTAATCCTGTGCTGCTTGACCCAATTCCATAAGCCTGCGCGCTGTGTTGTTTGGACCTTTGCTTTGTGCAGAGGGAGGCTAAAATCATTCCAGCCTCCAGGTGTCTGTCTGTGTGAATGTCGGTGACAGGTCACTTGGCGGCGGCTCTGGTTTTGGACAGGAGCTGGAAGGAATGGCTCCTTCCACACGGCTGGCACGTCCCGGGCTGTTGGCAAGAGCGAGGCTGGTTATGTAAACCAGAGCCGTCTGACTGGGCTTCTTCGGGACCACGTGGAGGTGTAGGACAGGCCCGGACCACCCCCAGGCCAGGCTGCAGCTCAGCAAAGGCGGGGGCCGACGGACCCCACCAGGCTCTCTGCCTTTCGCCCCGGCCGCCCAGCCCCGCACCGGGGGCCCCTGCCCTGCCTGTGGGCCTGCCCTCTGCCCGGCCACGTTTGCCAGGTGCCCCTGTGCTCCAAGGCCTGAGCGCCTGACCTTGTGTCGGGCACTGGGCAGGCTGCAGGGGTGATGGGTGGAGTCCAGTGAGACAGAGAAGCCCCAGCCGTGGGCAAGCGAGTGAGCCGCCGCTTAGCACGGTGAACACGACCCCCCAAAGCAGGAGGCATAGTGCTCAGCCGTGTGGGTCCCCCCTTTCCGACACCCACGCTGAAACAGCCAGCAGGCACAGCTGGCAAGGCGGTCCTGTCCTGCCCTGGCCTTGTCCCTGCCCCTGGCTGTGGGCTTGTCAGCCCCAGACACCCTGGATGCCGCCATCCTCGGTTCCCCCCGACGCCCAGGCTGCACCTTCTGGCCTCCTGTGTGGTCCCCGTGCCCTCAGCTCCTTCTCTTCGGCCCGTGACTCTGGTCCTTCGTGCCCCTCTGCTCGCTGTCCCTTCCCTTGTCACTTCTTGAGGGACGCAGCTCCTCCCCCAGCCACCTGCCCCCGCGCAGAATCAGGCGGGGGGCCTTGGCGGCTCGTCCACCCACCGTGACCACCCCCACCCTGGCGGCCTCGCGTGGCCGCTCGCTCTCCTTGTACCACTCCTGCCCCCACCAGACCCAAAGGCCAGTGCCCAGGCCTCCCAGCACCCTCCCAGCGGCCGAGGGGGCCCTCAGCGGCCTGTGCCCTATGACCGTGAGCGAGCCCGAGTGACAGGGCTGCCTTTTCTGTCCCTAACAGAGCTGTTGCGGGGTCTGGACGAGCTGACGGTGCAGGACATATGGCAGGGCTCCTGGCATCCTCCTCCCCTGCCCAGCCACTGATGCTGGCATCCCCAGGACGCTGGGCCCAGTGGGCACCGATTACAGGCTGCCCAGTGTGGGCGGGAGCGCGGGGAAGGGCCCCTCCTCGCAGGGTTGCCGCTGGCTGGGTCGGTCTGTCACCCTATCCGGAGCCTCGAGCACGTGTGTCCTTTGACCTTCTGTAAAGAAATACTCTGAGGTAGTAAAAGACGGATAGAGAGAGGTCCACCCGAAGAGTATTGTTAAAACACTGTTTAATATAACAATTCAAAAACCCAGAATATACGGTCCTTGCAGTTGACTCTATCCTTACGCATGAAAATGCGTAAAATTAAATGCATAAAATCTTATGCATAAAATGGGGTACCATGGGGAATTTGATCTCTACTGTGTAGATTTAAATATAGTGACATACAAAAATGTTTTGTATATAATGTTAAGTGAGAAAAACAGGACAAACTTGGGTGGTTTGGGCCTATTTTTGTGAAAAAGTATAATGACACACACCTACTGGAAAAAAGTCTAACGAGGTCGACCTCAAAACACCCCATTTTCACTGGTGGTCTTTCTGGGGGATGAAGTTACAGGGCTTTTGCATTATATGCATTTTCCATTTTTTCCTGTAACGAACAGTCAGGCTGATCTGGCAGGTGCCACCCCGGTTGGCGTCACAAGGTGCCCCGCGCTCTGCGGGCTCTCCCAGTGGGAGCTCGGCACCACCCCCAGCAAAGCCAGGCTCGTCCTCCCGGACAGCGAGTCCTCTCTGCGCCGGAGTTTCCCCACTACCTGGTAGGTGTTTGGCTTTTTCCATTGGTCTGCATCTGATTTCGTGTGAGACGGCGAGAGGTGGAGGTGATAGCACCGTCACAGGGCGACCTCCTGCTGCTTGGAGGCAGTGCCCGCTCTGACCGGGGGGCCAGCTGCGTCCTCCTCGTCCTCTCACGGGTCTGGGTCGGTCCTTCCGTCTCGCTGCCCAGACCAGAGCCCCACCGTCGGGCTCACTCCTCTCAGGATGCGCAGCGCTCAGTGCTGTCTAAGCTCCTGCGCACAGCTGGCTTCCAAGGCAGCACCTAGAAGCCCTAGATCACAAGGCAGAGAAAACTGGGGGAAGGAGAGGGTTTGCCAGTGGTGCCCTTTCAGACGCCTCGTCCTGGTGAGGACCCAGCCCCCTAGCGCGCAGACAGCTGACAGGGGCGGCAATGGCTCAGCTCTGCAGAGCTGTGTTTCGATTGACATGGGCCCGAGGTCTCTGCCCCCCTCCTTTTCCAGGCCTGAGCTGTCGTGGCCGATGTCCCGCAGGCACGGTGGTCTGTGCGGTGGCCCCTGTTGGGGGAAGGCGTCATTAAAATGACAGCGCATCCGCCAGGCGCACCCCTCCAACGGAACGAGGGGAGCCGGGAGAAAAGTAGGTCACATGTGCCTGGTCCCATGTCACGAGGTCTCCAACCTGAGGCCAATGGGATCTGTAGCGTCCTCTGGTTTAGAACAAAACCACACTCTAATTTTTCTCCTTTAGCATTTTTATCTTCTCTAACGGGGGAGAGTGACCATCTGTCTGATAGCCACATCCATCCGGCCCTGCCCGACTGCACAGAGTGGCTTTGTTCTGAGGTAAGGGGCTGCGGGCCCGGCCGAGGCCACGCGGAGCCCAGACAGCGGGTGTGCAGGGCCATCCAGCTGGGCTGTGCCCAGTGCTGACGGAGCGGGAGCGTGGGGTCCTCAGCGAGAGTTCCAGACGTTCCCCTGGTCTGACAACACGGCTCCTCTTTCAGGATCGGGGTCACTGCTGACACTCCAGTGTTAGTGAGCTATTACGTAGAAAACAAACAGGTCATTTTTCAGCCGTTTGTGCTCCTGGGGCAGGTGTGGGAGTATGATCCTCCCCTCAGAGAGGCTGGTCATCCCCGGGGCCAAGGGCTCTGCCCCCTCTTTGGGACCGGCGCCTTCGTTGGGGAATGTCCACCCCTGCGGTGACCAGGTGAGCCGCTGGCATCCACTGGCGTGAAACGCACGTTAGAGTAAGGTCGATGCGTGTGTGTTGCCGCGTGTGGAGCTCGATGCTAGATGAGAAGTAACACCCTCTGTTGTCCCTGGGAGGCCAGCGAGCACGATTCCTGTGTGAGGAAGCAGGGAAAGGTCCAGTGTTTAAAAGTGTTTGTAAAAGTAACGTGAGTTTTGTAGCTTATAAATAACAAAAAAAATTTTTTTTACCTGTCCTATAAGTGAGTCAAAGTATTCCATTAGTTCAGGGTGTCTGATGAAGAAATTTTGCAGGTAACGAGTAGAATATAAAATGTTTGCAATATCTGCCGTGGGCTGGCCGCTGGCGCGCATCTAGACAAACTGTATGCTCTTGTTAGGATGTCCCGGGAAAAAAATGTTTCCAGAGCGGTTTGCCAGAAACCAAAGTTGTATGGTATTCGATTTGAGTGTGTTCTACTGGAGAAAAGGGTTTTGCTTTTCAGAAATAAAATATTTAAAATGTGTATCTTAGCTGGCTTTCCAGGACACATAGGTCTATAGCCAAGTCCACAGAAGTGAATGTGGACGCTGTAGATGATTAATTCCCCCACATTTGAGACGTAGAAACAACAGTTGCACCCTTGGTAACAAAATAAGATTTTC